TTTATTCAACAATTCGTCTCCTCCGCGTCACCCTGGCGCCATTTTTGAGAGTATCACATGCATAAATAACGTATGCAACGTATGTACGCGGACATGTTGTTTACGCTTTGATCTGAACATAAACAACATATCCGAAGATGAACGAAAGGCCTTACAGGTTTGGAACGACATGAGGGTGAGTGATTAATGACTTAATTAATGATTTTTTTAGTACAGAGTACAGATTTTTGGTTGAACTATCCCTTTAATTCAGAGCTACATTGAATGAAAAATCACTAATTTAGCCTACTTCTGTCAGTTTGGACCTCCATAGTAGTTTGATGAGTGTGTGCATTACAGTGGATGTGTTGTGGTGTTTTACAGGTTGGGCCGAAGGGGAAGGTGATTGGCATTGATCATATAAAGGAGCTTGTGGAGGATTCTATAACTAATGTAAATAAAGACGATCCTAGTTTGATCTCTTCAGGGAGAATCAAACTCAATGGTTGGTCTGATTACCCATCTTTGGTCTCTCACAATTGTGTTTTATAATGTATCCATTTTCTAGGTATGCAGCAAAATTTTGGCTGATTTTGATTGGCCAACGGTCAATACTATTTATATGCATTTATTAGGGATGCAACAATACAGTTAGTCCATGGTTCAATACGTACCTCAGTTTTTAACCATCGTTTTCGGTTCGGTTTGTTTCTGATAGCTTGGCACATCAGAGTGTTTTTTGCAACAAATTAACAACAAAAAACTCCTGTAAACCTCTGTACACTGGAAAAAGCGTGGATTTTTATATTTCTGTTTAACATTTCTTTTGAGAGAGGAATTATTTTTCCAACTTTTACCCAAAATAGGATGGATTGGCCATTATTGAGCGCTATAAACACATGTAATGTGTGTTTCATTCATACTGGACGCCAGAGTGCGCCCTTGTGCAGAAAATCCACATATGCATCATAGAAATAACACTTATGGCATTCCAGGAAATCCCTAATATGGATAAAGGCATCGCTATCGCTGTAACTGAATAAAAAGAAGATAAAACGTTAACGTTTTGAATGATGAAATTTAAGGACAATAAACACTAAACAAGTTATAATGTTCTCTTTTGCTGGACAACAGGTTTAGAAAGTCTTATTATTGTCTGTCATTACAAGGGAAGATGCTCGGCATGTGTTGCTTTTTCAAATATAAGAGGGGAGGGGTTTCCTCATTTCAGCACGTGAACTCACCGACACACAAACAGCCAATTCTGAGAGAAATAAAACACACCGATATTATTTAAATGCAAAACCGAAAAACCGCAATTCACAAGCGCGTATTGAACCGTGGATGTCGTACAGAACGGTTCGATATTATATCAAGAATTGTGACATCCCTAGTATTTATACATATTTAAATTATTTTTTTCACATATTTTATCACATTTAAATTCATTTCTCAGACTTTTTTTCCTCAGATTTTTTTTTTAAGTTGTGACATTTATCAGACAAATTTACATTCAGAGACAGGCCATAGGAATAGAACAGAACAGCTGTGTTATCCTGTAATGTTGTCTGTATGTGTGCAGTTGGAGATGGAAGAATGGGCTATGAGGAAGAAGCACCTTTTGACGCCATACATGTCGGAGCCGCAGCTCCCACAGTGCCACAAGCAGTATGTTTTCTTTGAATCACAAATACACTTTGATGCCTAGCCATATTTGTACCTTAAGCCATATCTTTAAAGGAATAATTCACTCAAAAAGTAGAATTTTGTCATCATTTCCTCACCATGTATCTGGATCTTCACATGTATGTGTGTTTGTTTGTGTTGTAGTTGCTGGACCAGCTAAAGCCAGGTGGGCGTCTGATTCTGCCGGTCGGGCCAGCAGGAGGGAACCAGATGCTGGAGCAGTATGACAAATTGGAGGATGGCAGTACCAAAATGAAGCCACTGATGGGCGTGATTTACGTGCCTTTAACAGACAAAGACAAGCAGTGGTCAAGGTGGAAGTGACTTCCTGTCCTCTGTCCCCTCTCTCTCTCCTAGGGCACAGGTGAAATGGTGTGGTCCGGAGCAGACAGAGGCTGCATTTGCCGCTTGTCCTCTTTTTTGCTGCGCCATACCATGATGAACAGCTGCACAGTGTTTTTTTTGTCTTTTTTTAACTGTAACCCACCAGCCTGATTTGACCAAAAAAAAAAAAAGAAAAATGTTTTAAATTTCTGGTTTGCCATTAACTGCTGGAATGGGCTTGAGTTTTTTTTCTTTCCCCTCTAAAATGCTTTCTAAATGATGAGACATGAAAGCATGAAGACATCAAAACCTATTTAGATTTGGCATTATGGCTTTGTTCACACTGGCAGCCCAAATCTGATTATTAAGGCAGATCAGAGTCAATTCCAGCAAAAAAAAATTTCATTCATTTATGACATCACTTAAAGGGGTCATATGATGCTTTTTTAAAGATCATTATTTTGTGTATTTGGTGTAACAGAATATGTTGACTGCAACTTCAGGGCTCTTATCTATTCACGAACAGCTTGTAACACTCCAAAGAGAAAGGAAAACTTGAAATCGCATCATATGACCCCTTTAAAACTCAACAAGAGAAGCTTAGAAAGTCTCAGTTCCTGAAAATACATTCTAATTAAATTGATTACAATTTGTGTTGCTATAATTTGCGAGACCAGTAATTGCCCCCAGCACAATTGCACAGCTAATTTCCCCTTCAGATTTCCACCCTGTTAGCCAGCTGCCATTGTGACATGTATGTAATGTCATATACAGAGCTGAGCATTAGTGTGTAGATGTGAATGTGTAAAATAATGTGTTCTTGCATTAAATGCAGTATTTACTGTCTGTTTTTGTAGAAGAAAGTATATTGGCATCGTGTTGACGCCTACATTGTGACTATAGCAACCAATATAAACACACCAGATATCGAGTCCACTGTCTGAATCCTGTTTCATCAGTGGCAAAGTGCAGACCAGTGCAATTTGAAAAACAAATTGCATGCAGTTTGAACACAGTCTATATTGCATATTAAAGGGTTAGTTCACCCAAAAATGAAAATTAGCCTAGGTGTATATGACTTTCTTCTTTCAGATGAATCCAATCAGATTTATATTAAAAATTGTCCTGGCTCTTCCAAGCTCTATAATGGCAGTGGGCGGGTGTTTCTGTTCAACAGTCCAAAAGAAGTCAAATAAAGTGCATCCATCCATAATAAAACATGCCTCGCACGGCCCCAGGGGGTGTATAAAGGCCTCCTGTAGCAAATCCATGTGTTTTTGTAGAAAAATATCAATATTTAAAATGTTATAAACACTAATCACGTTCCGTGTTCATCACTAATCACCAGCGCGTGCGCTATGCCTACGTCATCCGCCCTGAACGGCTTCCGCCTACAGTTAGCGGAAGTGAGAGAAAAGTGTTTATAATGTTTTAATTATGGATATTTTTCTTACAAAAACGCATGGATTTGGTACAGGAGGCCTTTATTCACCCCCAGAGCTGTGTGAGGCATGTTTTATTATGGATGGATGCGCTTTATTTGACGTCTTTTGGACTGTTGAAAAAACACCAACCCACTGTCATTATAAAGCTTGGGAGAACAAGGACAATTTTTTTAATATAAATCCGATTGGATTCGCCTGAAAGAAGAAAGTCATATACTGTACACTGAGGATGCCTTGATGGCAAGTAAAACATTGGCTAATTTTCATTTTTGGGTGAACTTAACCCTTTAATACCTTTAAGATTGCTGAAACTAATTGTTGCATGTGTTTTGTTTACACTGTATGCACGTCAGTCGTGATGGTTTGTATGATAACATCTTGTTGTGCATCTTTGATGTTCACAGTAACTTTATTTTTCTGTTTTTTTTTTTAGGGATGAACTTTGAAAGGATGATCTGGCAATACTCATCGCACCATATGCACACACACACACAGACACAGACACACACACACACAAAAAAAACTATTTGTGGTAGTCAAACCAGTGTGACTTTGAAGGGAACTGACTTCATACATCCTCTAAAAATCACCTTGACGCCAAGTGCTTAAGGCTAATTGCTCAAAAATGTGAAGAATGTCACATACTACACACACACACACACACACACACACACACACACATCCAAATGGACTTCACTGAGGAGAGGTTGTATAAATGCTCTATTTCCATACCTGTGACAGTCTGACGGTCGTGAAAGATGGATGTATTGATCAGATTCTTTTATTTAAAAAGGAAAAAAGTGGAACAGGGCTTTGTGCTGAGATTTTCATGCCTGCAGTTTGAGAATTGTGTGAATGCATGTAATGTAAACAGAACACGGGGGCCGGCCTTTGTGCTGAATCTAGCCTGTGATTAAAACATAATTCACTGCTACATTATGTGTAGGGATGTCTTGGCTCTACAAATCCGTGTTCATAGTAATGGCTTGTGTTTTCAGCTGAAGCATGTGACACCCAGGCAAAATAAACCACTTATCATTCGATAATTTTATCAGAGGATTCTAGAGTAAGCCACAAGAGGCCATGTGTTACAATGATTTTACCATGGTTATGGGATGCTCTTCGGTTTGACGCAAAGCAATCCTCTTTAAAATCAGTATAGCACAGTTTCAGTGGCTCAGTATGGGATAATGTACAGTCAGCTGGTCATTATAGCAAACTGAACCCCTAACACTAAGCAGAACTGTTATTCCTGGATGCTTACCAACCAAATAACATGTAAATAACATGAATTATTGAAAAGTTGAAAACATTTTAATATGTGAGAAGAAAGAGTGCAGAATGATATAAGAAATTGTTTATCTGGGACAATGGTCAATTATTCTCTTTAGCATAATTAGAAAAATATGTACAAACCACAGAATGCTGCCATTAACCAATCACAATCAGGTATTTCACAGATCTGAGTCTAATAATTGCTTTTAGAGCAGCAGCAACGGAAATATGATAAAAGACTCCAATGTTAAATAAATAACTACCTTTATTAATAAAAATGAACGATTATACCAATGTAATAATAGAAACATTTCTCCAGGCAAGTAATATAGTCCATTAGCTATAACTTTAGGCTGTTTACAGTTGCCAAGCAATTCAGCAACAGGTGTGTGTGTTTAGAGGTTTTGCAACAGGTATTTTACAAGGCGTATTCAATCAGACTCTACAGTCTGAACTATAGTTTATACACTATATTGCCAAAAGTATTGGGACACCCCCTTCTAATGAACAGGTTTGACTACTTTAATAATTTCCATGAGTACAGATCTTAATGTTTAAGCATATAATGGGAATTGTGTGCTTCTAATTTTATAGCAACAGATTGGACAGGACCCTTTTCTATTCTAACATGACAATGCCTCTGTGTATAAGACAAGGTTCAAAAAGAAATGATTGAATGCAGACCTTGAGCCAAGTACACATGGGGACAGTCATTTTAGACACTTCCAAAACTGTTGCAACAGAGATGGAAATACAATTTTTAAATACATGAATTATGTATGCATCTTTTTGTTGCCACACTTTGGTGATGAGTTTTTGACTCGAGGTCTGCATTTAAAGTCACACCAGAGGTGTTCAGCTGGCTTTCTGCAGACCAGTCAAGTTCTGTCAGGACCGCTATCGTCAAAGATGATTGACAATTAGCATACAGTTTGGATTGGCGGTATGGTTCTGTTCGGCCAGAACTAACGCTACGCTTGAATTCTTCCACACTGACTGAATCAATCATTTCTTTTTGAACCTTGCCTTATACACAGAGGCATTGTCATGTTAGAATAGAAAAGGATCCTGTCCAAACTGTTGCTATAAAATTAGAAGCACACAGTTTCCTAGAATATCATTATATGCTTAAATATTAAGATTCGTACTCATGGAAATGACGAAAGTAGTCAAACCTGTTCATTAGAAGGGGGTGTCCCAATACTGTTGGCAATATAGTGTATGGCGTATAAATCGAAATTTTAGAAATCAACTCAAGAATACTAAAATAATTTTGTCACTATGTTGTTCCAACCTCATATTATTTTCTTTGTTTTGTGAAACACGACAGATGCTTTTCCGCATGATGAAATTTGATGCTTTATATCATCAACTTTTAAAAAGTTTGTGTTAATAATATATAAATATATATAATATATATATTTATAAAATATATAAATATAAAATATCATAATCGTCGCCTTTAGATTTGATGTTGTGGAACCCAAACAATACTGGTTCTCGTGTTCTCGGCAAGTATGATAAACATGAGATTTGAGAGCTACTGTATGGCGGAAGGGAAGATTCAATCTAAAGCCTTGGATTAGACAGAATGCACGAGTTGTATGGATGGACTACTTTTATGGTGTCCTTGGAGCTTGACAGCAAAAATCATCATCCACTTTCTTTATTTGGAAAACAGAATCTTGGAACATTTCATGTATTTCACAGAAAAAAGAAAATCATACAGGTTTGGAATGATATGAGCAGAGTTGGGTCACAAGTTTAGAGCACAACTGTAGCAATATTACTGCTCGCTTTGAAATGTGTTTCACATCACTGCACTGCTCAAAATAAGCGTGTCTATATTATCTAACATGCAGCAAGTAAAGTTCCACTCAGATCCATACTTGCATACCCAGCATTGAGCTAAACCTTCAGTGGTCATTTTGATTGTAAGCGGTTTTCAATGCCAGTTCTCTGTGCATGTTTGTGTGTTACCTGCACGCACAAACGTGGCTTTTGACAAATAAACTCACTGCTAAGCAATGATCTGTTCATTCACTGGTCTCTTCTTTCACACAATCTCACAGTCTGAACTATAGAGAAGCAACCAAATTGCTTCTCTGTCAATCTCCTAGGTTTGTTTTCACTTCTCAGTATACCTTTAACAGAATCTGTCAGATCGCTACCACTATGAAGAGCAGTCTGTTCAAACACAGATGAAATGGAAGAGTGCCACAAAGCCTGCCCTTTATTCACCTTGTACATGCTTCTTTTTGGTGGTTCTCAACTGTTCACATTGCAAAAATGGGGGACAGGTTTGTTCTGATAGAGTCAGAAAAAAGTTGTTCAGTGCAAATTAAAAGCAGCTGAACATTTAATTGGACATAGAATAACAAATTACATAAGTTTATCATCTATTAATTAAGAGGAGAAAACAATTCCTCTGTATTTTTGGCTTCCAAAGGTTGGGCACAATCAGACTATATTGTGGTGTGAATTCTCTAGAAGCTATAGTCGGATCCCACGGCAAGAAATGTTCATCATCAAAAACCATGAACAATAAAAGAGAAATATTACTAATTTCTTAGTAATTATGGTGATGTGCTAGGTTGCGCTTTCATTTCAAAATTTGTTTCAGTAAAATCTGTGGGAAAACCTAACTTTCACTAAAATGTAATTATTGTAATGCACTATTGGCTGCCTTGATTCTGTTTAAAAATAAGCTGCATTTGTTGAACATGCAGCAGCTTGAAAATCTAGCCCCATTTATTGGTGCCTTTATTTGTAATCCAATAACCATAAAATGGATTAAAATCTATTACTTTTTTACATTTTTTAACTATTTTATTTATTTATGCAAATTAACATGTTACATTTATGGCATAGAACTGTACACAGAATAGTTATGAAATTTGGCACACAGAAGACAGTCTGAACATTTACCATTACAAATTCGAAGTCTGTTTCTCAAACCTTCTAGCACCAGCAATAGCTCAAACTTTCACTTACGTTTATGCTAATAACTATTGTACTGTAATGGCAATGGCAATGGCAAATTTATTTATATAGCACCATTAATTACAACCCATGGTTGTCCAGTGTGCTTTACAACAAAATAAAAAATGAAAACACAAAAACACATTTACTTGAAAATACACAAAGTATAATAAAAAACAATAAAATGTAAGGCAGGAAAGTGTTAATACAGATTATAAGCCTTGTCAAACTAATACGTTTTAAAGCTAGATTTAAAAGCAGATATAGAGGGGGCAAGTCTGATTGTGATAGGTAATTCATTCCAGAGTCTGGGGGCAACTACAGAGAATGCACGATCACCTCTACACTTATACTTCGACCAACAAGGGTCTCTGTTTGGAAGACCGAAGTGATCTGGTGGGAAAATGTTCAATCAACAGGTCAGAAAGGTAAAATGGGGCCATACCATTCAGAGATTTGTACACTATGAGTAAAATTTTAAAATCAATTCTGTGGCACACTGGTAACCAGTGCAGAGAGCGTAAAATTGGAGTGATGTGGTCCCGTTTTCGAGTACCCGTAAGCAGTCTGGCTGCTGCACTTTGAACTAACTGTAATCGGGACAGCGCTGATTGGCTAATCCCAACATATAGAGAATTACAGTAATCCAGCCTGGAGGATATAAAGGCATGGATTACTTTTTCAAAATTTTTGAAGGAGAGAAAAGACTTTACTTTTGATAGCATTCGCAACTGAAAAAAGCATGATTTCACCACCAAGTTTATCTGCTTATCAAATTTCAGAGACTCATCAAAGACAACACCCAGGTTTTTCACCGATGTCTTCACACATGAAGACAGCCCACCAAGATTTGCTTTGGGATTATGAATTGAAACTGAAGGACCAAAGACTATAATGTCTGTTTTACTCTCATTAAAATTCAGAAAGTTTAGAGACAGCCAGGACTTTACATCTGACAAGCAAGCCCTGAGAGTGTCCAAACCGTCTGAATTACGTTTTAAGGGCAGATAAACTTGGGTGTCATCAGCATAACAATGCAATGACAGCTCATACTTCCTGAAGATAGAACCAAATGGGAGCATGTATATTAAAAAAAGAATGGGAGCCAAAATGGATCCCTGAGGAACCCCACATGATAAAGAAGCAGCACTAGAAAAATGATCTCCAATATTAACTGAAAAACTTCGATTAGAAAAATAAGATTTAAACCAATTTAAGGCACTACCCTTAATGCCTGCGCATTGCTCCAACCGAGCAATAAGAACTTTGTGATCGACCGTATCAAATGCAGCAATCAAATCTAGGAGCACAAGCACAGCATAGTCGCCAGAATCGCAGGTTACTAAAATATCATTTAAAACTTTCAACAATGCACTCTCAGTAGAGTGATGTTTTTTAAAACCGGATTGAAATATTTCAAAAATCATGTTGTCATCTAGAAAACCCTGCAATTGCTGTAGGACAATTTTCTCCCAAAATCTTAGCGATAAATGACAAATTTGAGATAGGTCTAAAGTTGGCTAACACTGTGGGGTCTAAGTTCTGTTTTTTAAGCAGGGGGTGGACTATTGCATGTTTTAATAAGTCAGGTACAATACCAGTTTCTAAACAGCGATTTATCATAAACAAGAGCTGTGGACCAACTACATCATAAACTTGTTTAATAAAATATGGAGAAATTATATCAAGATATATGTAAGACCTAGAAACAATATTCACATGCACAAAATGGATTCAATTTGGAAAATCTACTTTTAAAAATTGTGCTAGATGATTCATTGGATCTTCACAGAATTTAGCTACCTTATCATTAGATCATGCTGGCCAAAAGTTGTTAAAAGACCAGGGCTGCGTTTCCCGAAACCTTCTTAACGCTACGTCGTTCGCAAGTTATACCTTAAGTTGTACCTTTACGTTAATACGTGTTTCCCCGACACGTTCTTAGTTAAGTATACCTTCTGTAAGTAATTCGTTCGTAAGGTTAGTCTGGACCACTCTTAGCTATACCTTATCGCTGTTCACAGCTCACTCCGCTAGTGGCCACCACTGTGCAAAAACCTTCTTCACATTTCAGTCGATACGATTGTAATTCTGTGGCAAGAAAAAGTGCAGAACCAAATAAATATTACAATTCTAAAGTTGTAATACACCCAGTGTTCAATTAGTGTTCAATTAATTGAAGTGTTTTTATGCAAAGAATAAAACTGTCATTATACTGATGGTTGTTAGTTTTTCCATTATAATATACAAAGGCACATGGGCTGGCAAACAATTAGGCAGCACATAATTAAGAGTATATTTAAAGGGAATGACTGTGACGGGGAGTTTGGTCAAACTATGGCAGCGAGACAGCGAATAGTTGTCCTAAATCAAAGA